AAATTACCTGAACACATAAACTACGATACTCTAAAATTAATAGATAATTTATAAATTACCTGAACACATAAACTACGATACTCTAAAATTAATAGATAATTGATGTTAAAATAAACAAATAATATTGTATCATCAATCCTTACCGTAATTCTTATTTGAAAATGATCATATTTGTCTTATTCTTGTTTAAACACAAAGTTACGCAATGGCGGTATCGAAATCCGATTTTTAACGTTATAAACCCACAGACTTGCCACTGAACCACCCGGGACCAAATATGATTATAAAAAAATTGTAAAAATTAGAACTCACCAATTACTCTAGTTCGCACCCTAACGGTTCTTCTTCATACAATTTGTTTACTACTACTACTACTACTCTGTCTGTCTGTTGTATCCGAGCGGCCTGTTATAAGACGAAAGGTCTTACCGCCACTAACCATGAACATACTGTGTAGTTCACATGTCATACATTTCTCATTTCTTTTACTTTTTTCCTCTAAGTTTAATGACCTTGATTTTTGACTACTAACAGTTGAATATTCTTCCGCGAGGTTTCGCAACTCATAACTTCGGCTATCTCAGAATTAGCAAATAAATAAATAAAGTTATAATACTGCCTTATCACGGTGACTCCTGGGTATGTGATCTCGAACCTTTTGAGTACATTCCATACTAACTGTGTAAACTTTAATTTTCATATAAATATATCATAAATGTAACGTATTTATAACACGTTTTTATGTAACAAGTATGGAAGTGAAGTTTCTAATACCCGTGGCAACTTTGAGAACTACGTAAACCTCACGAGCCCCCGGAAATATATATTAAGAGCGGAGACGTAATATTAACTTGTTTTGTGCACTCTTAAGCTTTGTCAGATATGGTAGTAGTGTCGTTTTCTCTAAATGTTCTTAGTTAATTAACGGAAGTACGTTCAAGAGCAGTATTTAAACGCCTGTTTTAAAAGAGAGGAAGTTTCTTTATCAATTCAGTGTTTTTCGCCATCATGGTGCTTTGTAACTTGGCGTAGCGCCAGTATTCAAAGTGTAAACATCAGCGTGTATTATGAAAAATGATTTATTAAATAGTTTGATTGACCAAATCATACCTTTTCATAAAAATATTCGCATCATTCTAACGGTTGTTCATCCTTATCATGAATATGTTGAAAGTTGGAAATAAAACTTTTACTGACTGATTTCACTGCCTGATGATTGTTAGGTAAGTTATTTATTTTATAAATAACAGCTGTAGTAGTATTTAATTTTAAATAATTAATAAGTTAAAGTTTGTCCAGACCAATTATAAGCAGGGCTGCACATCAGAATATTTAAGGTTAGAGTCGCGTTATGGTGCTGAACAAGTTATAAGCAGGGCTGCACATCAGAATATTTAAGGTTAGAGT